CCCCCCCCCCCAAACAAAACACCCCGTCCGTCGCTCACCACATGTGTCTGTCTGTCTGTCGTATGTGTGCTTCAGAAAGAGGCTCGCGTGGCGACAGGTCGCGACAACAAGAAGCCGATCGACCGCCGCTTCGACCCTAACAAAGGCAAGAAGGCCCCGAGGACCGACGACTTCATCTCGTTCACGCCACAAGACGACTCCATCGCCGAGCAGAGACGGGTCGAACAGGAGGTAGGTGGGCGAGGCGACGTAATGCTACTCGGTGCTTGTGAAATGGGTGGGTGGATGGATGGATGGATGTGTGTGTGTCTGCGTGTGTGTGTGTGTTGTGTGTGCAGAGAGCCGAGATGCAGTTCGTGCTTCCCATGCTCGCTGCGGGCCTCGAGGCCGAGACGCCCGACGCGATATTCGACATCGACAGGAGTACGCGCGCACAGACGGCAGGACAACCACCATGAGTGAGTGGGCATTTCCCTCCCTGTCTGTCTGCCTGCGTGCGTCTCTCCCTCTCCCCTCAGCGTTTGACGTGGGTGGCACTGAGTATGGGCTGGCTGTGCTCGACCCTGCGCCCATCAACCAGTGGATCCTCAGAGGACCGCCTAAGCCATCCAGTGAGAGAGAGAAAGGAAGATAGATAGAGAGAGAGAGAGCAATCAAGGCCACGGACCAAATGCCTGTGTGGTGTGGACGGTATGGTTGCTGTCCTCCAGAGAGCACCAAGGCGAGCGCAGCAGCTAGTGCTGCAGAGTCGTGGGGCCCCTTCGCTATGTCGCTGGCCAATGCCATTCGGTCTGCCCGTGACCCCGACAAACACACGGCTGAGGACATCGACAAGATGGCCAAACTCATCAAGGTCAGTCAGTCAGGGTAGCAGAGAGCCGTGCGTTGTCTGTGTGCGTGTGGGTCAGTCACATTTCCATGCGTGTGTGATTGTGTGTGACATCCATCTGTCCGTGCAGCTGCTGGTGTGGATGGCGGAGCTCCACAGCGGCCAGAAGGACCGCTTTGGGGGCGAGAGGGAGGTGAGGGAGTTGCACACAACACAGTAAACACCCCACCCACTTCATGTGTGTTGTGTTGTGTTTGTTTGCGTATCCATCGATGGTCAGTTTGCCCAGCACATGACGGCACAGGGTCGGCCTTCCCCTCCCGAGCTGTGCAGCCGCGGCATCCTCAAGAACTTCTGCGTATTCAGCGCGCGCAAGGCCGGAGCGAAACCGCTGCACCGACTCACAAAGCTCTTCCAGTTCAAGTGAGCACCAGCCACCACCCACCACCACCTGTGTGTCCTGGAGATCTCACGCCCTGTGTGTGTGTGTGTGTGTGCAGGTTGGGCATGCACATCTTGGTGTTGAGTGTGTATCTGGCCGGCAGCCTGGACGGGTCGTGGAAGTGCAACTTCCAGCCGCTGCTGGTGCAGCAGTGGAAGCGCAAGACGCACGGGTCAGTCGGCATAAACCGGCAGGCAGACAGGCAGGGAGACAGGGAGGGAGAGAGGGAGGGAGGCGGACGAGCTGATGACCATGTGTGTGTGCGGTGTGTGTGCATCTTCAATCAATCAGGATGGATCTGTGTATGCGCTATCTGAACGTCGAAAAGGTCGTGGCGTCGCCACACACGGTAGGGGAGGCGGATACATACCCAAACCGCACACACAGGCATGTGATCTGGGTGTCTCTCTGTCTCTCTCTGTCTGGTGTGTGGTGTCTGTCTGTCTGTTGTGTTCAGTACCGTCTGGTGGCCCCGCTGCAGCTGAGGCGTGTCGTCATGCAGAGGAGGACCACCAGACAGAGATGACGGCGAATGAGAGTGTACGTGATTGCGTGGATGAGTGAGCGACAGGGCGAGTTAGGTCCATACGTGCGTCCATCTGCTGTGTCGCTGTGGTGTGCCTTCTGTCTGTGTCTGTGTGCCGCACACTCTAGGCGGGCTTTGATAAGACAGACCTGCGTGTGTGTTTTGCGAAACGCATTTTCCTGGACTGAATGTCGGCCGATTCCACGACCGTATTGTCAACACGAAAAGGCACTGGTGAAACGAGTCTTATCTGGGCAATCAATCAGCCATCGTACCGAGTAGCCATCCGTCTTTCTCATCAAGTCGATCGACAAGCAGCAATCCGTCTTTGAATCAGGCAGGCAGGCAGGCAGGCAGGCAAGAGCTAGTCGCCCGCATGAGTTCATTCACTGAGCAGCTGCCACTCGCATTCGCCAAACGCAAACCTCTCCCTAATCGACCCCATACCCTTGAGCTACTCGCCGCAGCCGGCTTTCTTGGGGTCTGTTCCGATACCATCGCCACAGGCTGGCAATGCACTGGCGGACCCCCCGCCTCCCACGTGGCTCTTCGGCGGTTGACAGCTGACAGAGGTCGTGGTGGAGTGGGGGAAGGAGGGGAATAGGGGCGGGCTTGTTGAAGGCATCCCCATCGAGGGAGCCCTCTTCCGATGGGCTGGCGGGGACGGTGTCGGCCTCATGAGGGTGCTGGCTACATGGAGGCTCGGCATTTCTTGTGATTTTCTCCAACCACACCTGCACCAATCAACACACCCACACAATACATGCACGCACACAGAATGGTAACTCTTCTCTACTTCTCGTCGCGGCCTTACGTCTATATTTTTGTGCATTCGGATGGTGCGGTCGATGTCGCCACACAGCTGCCGCTCCAGGCTGACGAGTGGCTTGAGGATGTCCTTCAGGGCTGGTCGGAAGGCCATATGGGTCTGCAGGCACATGAAGGCGAGATGCCCGACCTTCTTGGCAATCGCCATAGACCAATTCAGCCCCGCTCCCCAGTCGTCGTCAGCCCGCTGCTGGAGCGTGGGCTGCCCACCGACGAGGCCGCATGGCTGACCGTCGCGACCGACGAGGTACTGCAGCTCCTCAGACCAGTTGAGTGCCGCAAGTGCCTCATCTCGGAAGCATGCGGCCTCGTAGCGGCCCACCAGCTGCTTGTGTGGCCACCGCCATCGCCTTCGCACCGCCCGCCGCAGCCGTGCCCTCTCGGCTGTCTCGGTGAGGTCCTCGTACGACGCCCCACTCACGCAGTGCCGCAGCACCTGGCCGACGGCGAATGAGATGGTGGGGAAGCCGACCAGCATGCAGCCCTCATCACGCCGCAGCAACCCCTCAGCCACCAGAGAGCCTGCCATCTCTTGGGCACTGTCGAGCAGCTCGGCCATCAGCCTCTTGTCGCCATCTCGCCGCCGATCGAGCCCGAAGAGCTCCCTCCACTTGTGGCCGCGCTGGTCTTGCGCACATGAGGCGACGAGAGGAAGGGCGAGCTCGGGGGCGATGGCGTGGGGCGCCCACGACCTCATGGGGAGGCTGAGGGGAAGGCGGGCGGCATGGTTGCCGACGTTGAGGCATGTGGTGGGAGTCGTCATATCCTCAGCGTATAGCATGCCGGCAACGTCAGCCATCACCCCCCCAGTGCCCGGCACGTGGTCGTCGAGGACAGGCCGCACTAGGGCATCCCACGACAGCAAGACACTGTCGGGGCAGCTGTTGATGGCGAGGAGGCCGGAGCGGATGGCGGCGCGGTGCGTCCTGATGAAGATGGAGGCGCCCCTCAGCAGAATGAGCACCTCCAGCATCATCTGCTCCTCCTGTTTGTCGCTGGTCGAGGGCATGTAGCGGCTGCTGATGGCCTCCATGTTGAAGATGCGCACGAAGCTGCCCATCGAAATGTAATCTCCTTTGGCGGGGTCACAGTCGACTGCAAGTTTGACAAGCACAAAGCAAACACCACATAACCACATGGGACACCCGATGAGGTCAAGTGGCCTGTGACTCACTGAGCAGCCACGGCGTGACGATGAAGGCACAGTCCCGACTTCTTCCGCGTGGGAGGCCCTTGAGGGTGGCCGGCTCCTGGCAGCACGAGTGCCAGAGCTCCACAAACACGCCACCATGCCGTTGTAGGCCTCCGTTGCGGGCAGCATGCAGTAGCTTGCCGGCCTCCTCCTGCAGCGTCTTGAGGGCCGCTCGGCCGGGAGGGGCGTCCACAAACACGATTTTGAAACAGGCATCCTTGCCTGCAAACACACACATCGCCACACGTCAGGGAGATGAATGAACGCATCGCTTTCCAATGCCCACAATGCGCCCAACCGCAGCCCATGCAGCCCAGCTCCCTACCTTGGAAGGTGCCTCGATAAACGTGGACGCCCCCCTCCTTTCTCGCTAAAGAGGACAGACGAAAGATCCGCCCGTCCCCCTCTTGGATGAGGCCGACAGCCTCACTCTCCGCCGCTCGCCGTCCGAGATCTCGAAGGGCATCGACGCGGGGACGGCTCGAAGCGGCTCCCATGATCACCAGAGGCTCTTGATCTGCTTGAATGCCTCAAAACTCCTCAAAAAAGCCTCTTTTCTCGTGAGCTAGCTCGCTCATCTCTGGGGGCCCCTTTGCGTCACCTGTTTTTTGGGGAGTGCGTCGGTTTCTCCACCCCTGCGACTGACGATGCCTAGCAAGAAGGCCGTAATTTGTGGCTGCAATTACGCTGGCAGCCAGATCAGTCTCAAAGGCTGTGTCAACGATGCGGTCTTCTGGAGAAAGACTTTGACGGAGAAGTTCGGATTTGACGCTGCTGACGTGAAGCTCCTCGTCGACGAGGGCGACCACGAAGGTGACGTGGAGGCCCCCACCAAGGAGAACATTCACAAGTAAGAGAAAGGGCCCACGAAAGGCGCCCCAAAGATGACGGGAAGGGCGGATCATGGCAATTGGATCATGGGGCCTTTCTGCGTCATGTGTGGTGTTTGTGCAGGTCCCTGGAGTGGCTGACGTCGGGTGCTGCCTCGGGTGACCTCCTGTGCTTCGTCTTCGCTGGGCATGGGACACAAATCCCCGACCTCAGTGGAGATGAAGCCGATAACAAGGACGAGGTGACCGCATGCACCACACCACACACAGGCAGTGGAAGCGCCGTCTCAGAGACGTGTTTCTGTCCTCTGTGCAGGTGTTGGTGTGCGCGGACTATGTTTCAGACCACAGCGGCCTCATCCTCGACGGTCACATAAGCACACTGCCCCCATACGCATGACCATCGAGTTGTCGTGTCTCCTTCTGCACTCGCTCCTGCAGATGAGCTTCGCGCATCGCTCCTCAGCGTTCCTTCCGGTTGCGAGGTCGTCTGCGTGCTCGACTGTTGCCACAGGTGGGTCCGTCAAAGGCCACACGACCCGTCGTTGTCGATGTGTGTATACGGGTCTGGTCTTGTGTCGATGCATTCGTTCGTTCGGTCGCTCATTCATTCAGTGGCACAGCGCTGGATCTGAAGAACCTGCTGGACCCCACGGCTGACCCGGTCAGCATCAAACACATTGAAGACGGGAACAAGTAAGCCACACCCTCCCCTCCTACCGATGCACACAAACATAGCAATTCCCAATCCCTCTCTCTGCCACCAACCTGGCTGCAGGGCGTACCGTCGGAGTTTGAAGGAGGCTGGATACCACCTGACGTACGAGCCGCTGGACGAGTGCTACCCCCGCGCCATCCCGCCGCTGGACGAGCGGCCCGAGAATGTGGCGCAGAGGTCGGAGGGCGCCCAGAGTGCCGAGGACAAGGGCGTCCGTGCTGTGTGCTTCTCGGCTGCCCGGGACGACCAGACGGCTCTCGACACACCATCCGAAGGCGGCTATGGGGGTGCGGTGCGCACAGACAGCCAACAGAGGAGGGAGAGAGATCACGTATGTGAGTGTCTGTTCTTGTGGGCTGGGGTTCGTGTGTCGCTGCTGCAGGTGCGATGTCGGTTTGTTTTGGGAAGGCCATGGAGTCTCTGGGTCAGGACTTCACGTACAAGCAGTTGTTTCAGGAGGCGGTGAGGGAGGAACCTGCAAGAACAAGAAAGAGATGCCAATGGCTATGTATTCTGCCTTCAGGTGAAGGAGTCGGTGCAGATGCGGGAGACCAACCCCCGCCTCACCCAGCACTTCCAACTGGCATACGACGGGTCAGGCAGGCACACATCAATCCACACACACTGTGACACAAATGTCTCTCCTCTCATCTCTTATCTCTCTGTTTTGTGTGTGTGTGTGTGTGTGTGGTGCGTGCTGTTAGTATTTCCGACCCTGAGACGGCCAAGGCGTTTGTTGTGCGTGTGGCTGAGGTGGAGCCCGAAGTGACCCAGGAGCAGGAGGCCCCCGCCCACCCACCCGCCGCACCGGCGCCGGCGGTCCATGTGCCGGGCTACGGACAGCCCCCTCCACACCCGGCACTGCCGGCGGGCGCTGGCGCGGCTCCGCCAATCTCGCAACTCTACAGGTACGTCTGTCTCCACGTCTATGTCTGCAGACATAGACATAGGTCCACACGTGTCTCTGGCTTGTTCTTTCTGTCTGTGTGGCTCAGCTATGCACCAATGGGCGTTGCGTCGGGCGGGATGCCGCCCCTGAGTGCATCTCAGATGGCAGCGTTGGGCCCGTACCCGTCGTACCATCCCTATGGGGCCCCGTACCCTGCCCCCGTGCAGGGCGTCCCGCGGCCTCGACCTGTGTTCGCCTGCGGCCCCTGCGCACCACCTGCCCGACCGACGTTCCAGCAGCCCCCGGCAACGGTGAAGCAGGGTGAGGGTGAGGGCGGGTGGCAGTCGTGGTTCTCCTGGATGATGCCAAAGAAACCCACGGCTGCTGCTGCCCCTCCCATGGCTGCTCGTGCCTCCATCGCTTCGGTTGCTGCCCGCGGCTCGGTGTTTTCGGTCACCTCGGAGGCCCAGCAGCAGCTGTTGCAGGTGCCGCAGATGCAGCAGGTGCAGCAGGTGCAGCAGATGCCGCAGGGGGGCGGGATGGTGCCGGTGCCCATCACTCAGGCTCAGCAGGTGGGGGCCACCGGGGCGGTGCAGGTCCACCCGATGCAGATGAGCGGCCTGCAGATGAGCGGGATGTCGGCATACCCGGCGGGCGCCTACCCATATCCTCCTCCCACCATGGCCGCCCGCGCCGCCGCCCGGCCTGCAGGAGGTCAGGCGTGCGGGGTGCCCATGCCAGCATGGCGACCCGCGTGGCCCCGCTGCTGAGCTGATGGACTGACTGATCGACTGAGACACACACACTCACACAGTCCACCCATAGCATTCATCACATCAGACACCCACTCGTGTGGAGAGAAGATAGATAAGTGGGGAGGGAGAGTGCATCCATTCATCCGTCTTGCGTGGAGTGGCTGGTATGGTATGCGTGTGTGTCAGTCTGTGGCGGCTTCGTTTTTTTCCCGTGTGGTGAGGCATTGTCTGTCTGTCTGGCGTCTGTTTCGTCCCTTTGCCTGGATGGGATGTCGTCTACCTGCCTGCCTGCCTGTCGGCCCGGATACAACCAACATTTTTTCTTTTTGTGGAGTGTGTGTGGTGTGGATGAGTGGCTGGAGGGATGGCTGGACGGGTGGGGAGGCACACAGTGATAGGGGACACTAAGTAGCGAGTTAAGAGCGACCGACCGACCGAGCGAGCGAGCGACGGAAGGAACAGACAGCACAACACAACACACTATCACCCAGCAGCAGCAGCAGTGAGTGCATGCAGAGTGCTCCCACACAAGAAAGGGCAACTTCATTGATATCGCCCACCCTGTCTGTTTTTGACGTATGTGTGGGAGAACAAACTAAGTAGAACCGTGACGTGAACAGACTGATGAATCGAACTCACCCAACAGATGGAACCACGAGTACCCGAGAGCTCGGGTGGCTTGTCAATCAGTCATTGATATAGTCAGCCAAGGCATGTCCCACAGCTAGCTGGGCGCATTCATTCTCTCTTCGAGAGATGCGCCGACACACACACGCACACGCACACGCACACGCACGCACACACTGACGGGCGCGGCCCACACAGACATCCATGCACCCAGCGAAACAGTCCCCCTCCCTCCCTCCCTCCCTGTCCCCCCCTCCCGGCCGGCCCTTCTGCAGACCAGGCTACCATGGGTCGATTTGCTGTGTCAGGAAGGGGTACAGGTCGCTGATCTTCATTCTGGTCTGTTCGCACGAGTCACGGTCTCTGACGGTGACGCTGTCGTCTTGCAGCGAGTCGAAGTCCACCGTGATGGCAAACGGCACACCCACCTCGTCGGCGCGGCGATACCTATGCAGCCAGCACACAGGTACACACACACACAGGGAGGATGGAGGGGGATGTGGGTGTGGTGTGCTGGTGTTGCGATGTGTTTGTGTTACTGACCGTCTTCCGATGGAGCCGCTGGCATCCCAGAAGACGCTGTACCGCCGCTTCAGCTTCTCAAATATCCCGCGGGCTGACACACACACACACACACACACACACAGAGAGAGAGAGAGAGAGAGGTATGTCCGTCCAGGTGGACCTTCTCACCTTTGCTGACGAGCTCCGGCTTGTTCTTGACCAGAGGCAGCACCGCCGCCTTGTAGGGCGCCTGCAACACGCACCAGACACACGACACCCACGCCGTGAGACCGATTTCACCCCTCCCGCGCGCTCCCCTGTTGGCTGACCAGCGAAGGGTGGAATTTGAGGTAGGTCCTCTTCTCCCCGTCGACCTTCTCCTCCACATATGCCGACACCATCACGGCCAAGAACAAACGGTCCACGCCCAGCGACGGCTCGATCACATGCGGCACGTAGCGACGCTTGTCAGCCGCATTGGGGTCGGAGTCGAAATACTCCATCGACTTGCCAGACGTCTGCAGCGCAGTGCAATCAGTGCGGTACACACCCGCCACACACGTGCACTCGTGTATCCTTCCATGAGTGTGTGTGCGTGCCCGCGTGCCTTTTCGTGCTGTGAGAGGTCGAAGTCGCCTCTCGCAGCGATGCCCATGAGCTCCGACTCGCCGAAGGGGAACTTGAAGATGATGTCGGTGCAGGCTCGGGCGTAGTGGGCGAGGTCGCACTTCTGGTGGACGTCATAGCTCATCAGATCCTCGCGCAGGCCTGAATACACATGGACAGACAGACAGAGAGACAGACAGACAGAGACAGGTGGATTTGCCAATGTGTCTAGGGTGCGTGCTGGCGTGTCGCCGACCGATAGACTTGAGCCAGTCCCAAGATTCTCCGATCCACTGCTTGTAATACTCGGGCCACGCATCCTCGTCAGGAGGGATGAAATACCTGCACCACACACACACACACAGACACACAGACACACGACACACGCCCGCTCCCATTTCCATTTCCATTTCCCCCCTAGCTGTGCTGTGAATGCCCGCCCGTACTCGATCTCCATCTGTTCGAACTCCCGCGATCTGAATATGAAGTTCCTGGGGTTGATCTCGTTCCTGAAGGCCTTGCCGATCTGCGCTATCCCAAAGGGCACCTTGACGCGCGACGTCTGTGCGACGTTCTTGAAGTTGACGAAGATGCCCTGGGCGGTCTCGGGCCGCAGGTAGGCCTTGGAGGCCGCGTCGCTGAGCGCACCCACGCTGGTCTCGAACATGAGGTTGAACTCCCGAGGGGGCGTGAGGGAGCCGGGGATGCCCGTGGCTGGGGAGGGGATCAGAGGTATCTCCTCAGGAGCCGCCTGATGGCAGCGAATAAGGGGAGGAATGAGTGCAGTTGGTGCTGGCGTGTCCTGGTGTCGGTATGGCTGACTGACAGACCTGTGTGGCGTCTTTGAGTTCGAGCGGCTTGGTGTCCCCCTTGACGTCGGCTTTCTTCATGAGTGTCTTGACGAGCTTCTTGGCGTGGGCCTCGTTGTTGTCGCCGTCGAGCATCGATATGTACCCAAGCAGCTCGCCGCTCTCCAGCTCCACCCTCGCAAAGTAGAGCTGATCCGCTCTACACGCACAAACACAAAGAAAACACTCACATGACATGAGTCTGATCGGTCTGTCTCGTGTGTGGGCCACCGACCTGTATCTCATCTTCGACTCCTTGCAGTCGATCATTGGGTCTGAGAATCCGCCGACGTGTCCCGACGCCTCCCATGTCTTTGGCGCCATGATGATTGAGCAGTCGAGTCCGACGATGTCCTCCCTCTCGCGGACCATCTTGTCCCACCACCTGTTCTTGATGTTGCGGTGCACCTCCACACCCAGAGGGCCGTAGTCCCAGAAGCCGTTCATCCCGTTGTAGATTTCGGATGACTGTGAGAGGGAGAGAGAGAGAAAGAGAGAGACAGCAGTGTGGGTGGGAGGTGGGTGTATTACATACCTGGAAGACGAATCCTCTCCTTCTGCAGAGTGAGACAAGGTCCGTCATGGAGACGTCGGTGGTGATGTGCTCGATGGCACGATCACTGCTCCACTCCGGGTACCACGCCACACCTGATGGATGTGGCACATCCACATCCGAACACACAGACAGACAGACAGACAGACAAACGGACGGAGAGTGTTCATGCCCAAAGGGGTGGGGGGTGGGAGGGGGAGTCTTCTCACCTTTGCCTTTTGCTTCAATGTCGCCATCGACTCTTGTGGTGGGTGCGGCAGCGGCATATGGCGCCCCGTTGGCTTGAGACGGGCTAACCCCCACTGCAGTGCGCTCGGCCGTGGCCGCCGAGGTGCCCTCCTCCAAGCTGTTCAAACGACTGCGACACAATGGCCGCAGGGGAGAGCGCAGCCTCGACGACACCTGCACACATGACACACACAGACGAGGGGACATGTGCATTCATTAGGTAGGGGTGTTAACTCGGGGGGGCAACGGGTGAAAGAGTGAAGGAAGGTTGCCAATACGTGCACACGTGCACATGAGCATCCATCACATGACATGACATCACTCGCGTAGCTTAGCGCATGTGTTTAAACAAGCCAACGAGCGAGCAGCTGAGTCGCACACACGCAAAAACCGTCGCACATTCACATTCCTTGCTCCACTCCTATCGCTATAGCTAGATAAGATACACACAGCGGCCGGCCGGCCGGCCAGCTGACTGACTTGCATCAGGATCGTTTGAGCACGCCTCTCTGCTCAACATCAATCAACAAACAATCCGTATGTCATAGATACCTACCTACCGTACACACACAGCATACACGCAGCCAGCGCACCACAGCGTTAAGCACTCTCTCCAGCCCAACACATCCTTCCCTCCCCTCCCCTCCCCGAATCTCTCTCTCTCTCTCTCTCTCTGTCACGCCTTTGCCTTTGCCTTTGCCCGTCCTTTCCCCCCCACGCCCTTCTTGACGGCCTCATTCTTCTTCACCCCGCCCCCCTTGGCCGTGGTGGCCCCACACACGGCGCTCAGCACTGTGGTGTTGAGGACCACCCCCACAGGCACATGGTCCGATCCGTCGATGCTCTTCTCGATGTACGCCCCCTTGACGGCGTCGTGACACCGGTCGCTCACCAGGACGTAGTCGATGCGCCAGCCGCGGTTGCGCTGCTTGTCCTTGTAGCGGTACGAGAACCAGCTGTAGGCGCCGCCCATGTCTGGGTGGCAGTTGCGGAAGGTGTCGACATAGCCCGTTGCCAGCAAGTCTGAGAAGTCGGACCGCTCCTCTGGCGTGTAACCGGGCAGCCCCTCGCTCTCGAGCGGGCTGAACAGATCCTTGGGGGTGTGCGCCACGTTGAGGTCTCCCGCTATGACGACGGGCTTCTGCCGCCTGAGCCGCTCGATATGGGCGAAGAAAGCTGGGTTCCACTGGCGGTGCTTGTACTCGAGCCGCTGCAGCTCCCCCTGGGCATTGGGCGAGTAGACGCTCAGGAGGAAGAACGACTCGGTCTCCCAGGTTACCACCCGCCCCTCTTTGTCTTCCTCGCCCCCCTCCCCTCCACCCAAGTTGATGTCGAGCAGCACCCGCAGCGGCGGCGTCTTGGACAGGACCGCCGTGCCCGAGTAGCCCGCCCGAGCCGCACAGTGGAAGTAGCAGTAAGGGAAGTGCTGCCGAATGGCGTCGAACTCGGGCAGCGGTGTGTCGGGGGAGACGCGGGTCTCCTGCAGACAGAGGAAGTCCAGGTGCGGGTGCTCCTCCAGCAGCGTCTGGATGCCCCCATTGCGCAGGTTGGCCCTCAGGCCGTTGACATTCCACGAGATGATCTCCACGCACTCGTCGGGCAGCCGCCGGGGCAAATCCGTCACGGGCGGCACCGGCTTGGGCGCCGGGGTGGGGGAGGGGGACGCCGCACCTCTCCTCGACGTCGATGAAGACGACTTGCGCGCCGTGGTGGACGTCGTCGTCTTCCGCCGTCTTGTTGGCGCCGGCGCCACTGCGGCCCTCCTGGTCCTGGTGGTGGTCGAGGCGCCGGTGCTGCGCTTTGGTACGGATGGGACTGGGTGGGAAGGTGGGGGTGGTAGTGGGGGGACTTCTCGCTCGTTGGTTGCCGCAGATAAGGTCAGGGCCGCACAGCAGGTGGACCAGGACGGCAGTGTGGGTGTGGGAGGGGGGCTGGGTGCCTGAGGGGGAGGGGACGAATGGCAGGCAGGCAGGCAGGAAGAAGAAGCGCAAGGATGGATGGCATGCCACCGGCCAAAGCAATACAAAGACAGGACAGGACAGGACAGGCAGGCAGATCCATCCATCCGAGAGAGAAAAGAAAAAGCCCGCCACGCGCTCGAGAGCGAAAAGCGTGGCTGGACAGACGGAGAGGCCTGTCTTTCTTTCTACCGTAGCAGCGACGTACTCATTCACAACCACACACAACCAGCCAGCCAGTCGCGTACAGTACGCATCAGTGGTATACGCACGTATATGTCCGTGTCTATGTAGTGTGATTGCCCACCTTTCTGAGAGGCGATAGCGGCCGAAACCTCACTCCACCACCCTGCACACGCACCAGCACACACACAAACTGTCCGACCCCATGAATATGCACCAGAGTGTCATCTCGTCCGTCCACCTTGCTGTCTGCAATCGATGTCCTGAGGAAGGCCGGCCTCCTCAGCTCCCGCCCCTTGGACGACGGCAGCAGCCACACGCAAGCCAGCAGCACAGATCTCATGATCTGTCGCACCACATCCGTCTTCCCTGCCCTGGCACAGCAGCCTTCAGCCGAATCGCTCTGCATTCTCCCCTCCGCCCCTCGCCCAAGTCGTCTTCTTTTGCTGCGCGCTAATCCCGCAGGGTCGTGCGAGCTTAAGTGAAAACTGCCAGAAGTGCAAGTCGGTCCAGGGTTTAGGGTCTAGGGTTCATAGACCGACGATCCACTGATCTGTGAGACAGGACGGCTGTTGAGTCTTTGTCCGTTCCATGAGACAGGCCATGGCGGACAGGACGTCAGACAGGATGGACTGACGCATACTACATGTCCTACGTGGACTCTCCACAAAATCCACAGACCTTACGTTGCATTGACTTAATCCTTTATCCGGGACTGACCGCCCGGCAGATCCTCTCTTCACCATTCTCCCCGACTCTCTCCCACCTATTCTTACATGGGCGCAGCAATCTGGTTTGTCTTTTCCGCCTGATCGGCAGTTGGGCAGATCCTA